GTGGGGGCATGCTCATCCAAAATTTAAAAGCGTATCAAACGTGAACCATGGCACCTATCCTTTTTCCCTCGAAGAAGTGCATGACCATGAATATAAATAAGTTATAATATTTGACTTTTACGTAATGCCAAAGGACTGTGCATTTGTCAAATATCATTCCTGATCCTGTCAATATAATTTGCAGAAATGAGATTGTTAACGTGGCTCGGTGGCGCAACGGTAGCCGTCTGACTCCAGATCGAAGGTTGCGTTCAAATCCGTCCGGGTCAAAAATGTTGGATTGGTTTCTTTATTTTTCCTTCCGTCTTAAGAAACAATATGAATTACTCTATTTCTGCTACAATAATTTTTCTCTTCCAATTTTTGTTTTTCCCAGTAGCCGGTTCAGTAGGGTTCCATTAAGAAATTTGCTTGCGTTATTGAATTACGTTAAATTTGTCTAAGCCTTGCCCAAACAGAAAAATTTTTATGATTCAAAAGTCAAGGCGAGGTTCCATCCTCGCCATTTGTCTGACAACCAATTTGACGACTTTCATCTGCAATAACGATATGTTACCGGAGTGGTTCTAATACAAAAAATCCTCACATTCCAGAAGAGGAAGCTTGTGAAAAACAGGTGCGTTCCATTTATAAATTTTCTACATAGAGTCTGCGTTTTTAAAAGATACAATGGTGGTAAAAAGAACTGGTAGTTGTTTAATTACCTTCAATTTTTATCTCCCTTTGCAATTTCGCACTGAATCGGAGAATGTCGGGAGCATCCAAGACTCGGTGGCGCAACGGTAGCGCGTCTGACTCCAGATCAGAAGGTTGCGTGTTCGAATCACGTCCGGGTCAATGTGTGCCCGTTACTTTTGCTCCACTTTAGAAAATTAATTTGTACAAAACACACACATTACTAAGGAAAATATCTTGTTAGTCCGACCTTGCTAATTTCGTAGTTTCTGGGACTCGAATTTTTCATGTAAAACTTGAAAGGAAAGAATGAGAAAAATGGCTTTGTACTAGTTCCGCAATGGTAGGGCATGCTCATCCAGAATTATATAATGCAGTATGCAATACTGTAAGAATCCATGGCACCTATACCTATTTTGCTCTCTTCGTAAGAAGTGCATGACCATGAATATAAATAAGTTATAATATTTGACTTTTACGTAATGCCAAAGGACTGTGCATTTGTCAAATATCATTCCTGATCCTGTCAATATAATATGCAGAAATGATGTTAACGTGGGTTCGGTGGCGCAACGGTAGCGCCCTGACTCCAGATCAGAAGGTTGCGTGTTCAAATCACGCCCGGGGTCAAAAGCTGTTGGTTTCTTTTATTTTTTCCTTCCGTCTTAGAAAAAAATATGAATTTCCCTCTATTTCTCCCAAACAAAATTTTCTAAACTTCCAATTTTTTTTTTTCTCCAGTAGTCCGCGTTTCAGTAGGGTTCCATTAAGAAATTTGCTTGCGGTGTATTGAATTACGTTAAATTTGTCTAAGCTCAAAATTGACAAACGAAAAAAATTTTATGATTCAAAAGTCAAGGCTAGGTTCCATCCTCGTCATTTGTCTGACAACCCAAATTCCGACTTTCATTTGCAATAAGCGATATGTTACCTGAGTGGTTCTAATACAAAAATCCTCACATTCCAGTAGAGGAAGCTTGTGAAAAACAGGTGCGTTCCATTTATAAATTTTCTACATAGAGTCTGCGTTTTAAAAGAGACAATGGTGGTAAAAAGAACTGGTAGTGTTTAATTACCTTCAATTTTTATCTCCTTGCAATTTCGCACTGAATCGGAGAATGTCGGAGCATCCAAGACTCGGTGGCGAACGGTGGGCTCCGACTCCAGATCAGAAGGTTGCGTGTTCGAATCACGTCCGGGTCAATGTGTGCACGTTACTTTTGCTCCACTTTAGAAAATTAATTTGTACAAAACACACACATTACTAAGGAAAATATCTTGTTAGTCCGACCTTGCTAATTTCGTAGTTTCTGGGACTCGAATTTCATGTAAAACTTGAAAGGAAAGAATGAGAAAAATGGCTTTGTACTAGTTCCGCAATGGTAGGGCATGCTCATCCAGAATTATATAAGCAGTAGGGAAAAACTTTTAAGAACCCATAAAAATATACCTTTTTTTTTTTTCCCCTTTGAAAAAGTGCAGGACCATGAATATAAATAAAGTTATAATTTTTAAATTTTAAAGTAATCCCAAAAGGACTGCATTTGTCAAATATCTTTCCCTGTTTCCGAAAAATATAATATGCAAAAAATAAGATTGTTAACGGGGGCCGGTGGCGCAACTTGGCGCGTTGACCCAGATCAAAGAAGGTTGCGTTTTTCAAATCCGTCCGGGCCCAAAAATTTTGGGATTGGTTTTTTTTTTTCCCCTTCCCGTTTAAAGAAACAATATGAATTTACTCTATTTCTCCAACAAAATTTTTCCCAAATTTCCAAATTTTTTTTTGTTTTTCTCCAGTAGTCCGCTTTTCAGGGGGGGTTTCCCCAAAAAATTTTTCCCTTGGGTTTATTAAATTTACGTTAAATTTGTCTGCCCCAAAAATTGACAAACGAAAAAAATTTTTATGATTCAAAAGTCAAGGCGGGGGTTCCATCCTCGCCATTTGTTGAAAACCCAAATTTGACCCTTTCATTTGCAAAAACAAATTTTGTTCCCGGAGGGGTTCTAAAAAAAATCCTCACATTCCAGAAGGAAGTTTTAAAAAAACGGGGTGCGTTCCATTTATAAATTTTCTAAAAGAGTTTTTTTTAAAAAAGATACAATGGTGGTAAAAACTGGTTTTTTTGGTTTAATTACCTTAAATTTTTTTCCCCTTTACTTCCCCCGAACCCGGAGAATGTAAAGGCACCCAAGACTGGTGGCAAACGGTAGCGGTCGACCCGATCAAAAGGTTCGTTTCGAATCACGCCGGGTCAAAGGGTTGCCCGTTACTTTGTTCCATTTTTTAAAAAATTTAAATTTGACAAAACACCCCAAAATTACAAAGGGGAAAATATTTGTTAGCCCGGGACCTTTTTAATTTCGTGTTTCGGGGACTCAAATTTTTCATGAAAATTTTAAAGGAAGAATGGGTTTTGTACTAGTTCCGCAATGGTGGGGATGCTCATCCAAAATTATAAGCAGTATGCAATCCCGAAAGAATCCATGGAAACCTATACCTATTTTGTCTTTCGTAAAAAGGCTTTTGCCATGAATATAAAAAATTATAATTTTTAAATTTTTTACGAAACCCCCGGGCCCGTCTTTTGTCAAATATCATTCCGGGACCCTTCAATATAATATGCAGAAATGAGATTGTTAACGTGGGCTCGGGGCGCAACGGGGCGCCGCCCTGACCCAGATCAGAAGGTTGGTTAAAATCTGTCCGGGTAAAAAAATGTTGGATTGGTTTCTTTTTTTTTTCCTTCCGTTTTAAAAAACAATATGAATTTCCTCTATTTCTCCAAACAATAATTTTCAAAACCCCTTTTTAAATTTTCCCAAGGTTGGTTTCGTAGGGTTCCATTAAGAAATTTGTTTTGGGTGTTTTGGGAATTACGAAAAATTTGTCTAAGTCAAAATTGACAAACGAAAAAAATTTTTTTTATGATTCAAAAAGTCAAGGCGGGTTCCATCCCCCTTTTTGACAACCAATTTAACGACTTTCTTTTTGCAAAAAAGGGTAAAAGTTACCTGAGGGGTTTTCTTAAAAAAACCCCCCAAAATTCCAGAAGGGGGTTTTGTGAAAAAAAAGGTGCGTTCCATTTATAAATTTTCTCCATAGGGGTCTGCGTTTTAAAAGATACAAGGGTTGGAAAAAAAGAACGGGTTTTTTTGGTTTAATTACCTTCAATTTTATCCCCCTTTTCCAATTTGAAAACTGAATCGGAGAATGGGGGGAGCACCCAAGCCCTGGGTGGGCAACGGTAGCGCGTCTGACCCCCAATCAGAAGGTTGCGTGTTCGAATCACGCCCGGGGTCAATTTGTGCCCGTTATTTTTGCCCACTTTAAAAAATTTTAATTTGCCCCAAAACACAAAATTACTAAGGAAAATATCTTTTTAAACCCGACCTTGCAAAATTGTATTTGGGGGAACTCAAATTTTTCATGAAAAACCGGAAAAGGAAAGAATGAAAAAATGGCTTTGTAAAAACCCGCAATGGTGGGGCTTCATCCAAAATTATATAAGCAGTATGAAACTGTAAAAATCCATGGCACCTATCCTATTTTGCTCTTTCGTAAGAAGTGCATGACCATGAATATAACCGGTTTATAATTTTTGTTTTTTACGAAACCCCAAAAAGGACTGCATTTTGTAAAATTTTCCCTTTTTCCCCTTGACCCCGTCAATTTTAATAGAAAATGAGATTGTTAACGTGGTCGGTGGCGCAACGGTAGGGGTCTGACCCAGATCAGAAGGTTGCGTGTTCAAATCACGCCCGGGGTAAAAAAAATTTTGGGATTGGTTTCTTTTTTTTTCCCCCTTCCTTTTTAAAGAAAACAATAAATTTCCCTCTTTTTCCCTTACAATAATTTTCAAACTTCCAAATTTTTTTTTTTCAAAAAGAAATTCCGCTTTTCAGTAGGGGTTCCATTAAGAAATTTGTTTGCGGTTTTTGAATTACGTTAAATTTGTCAAAAGCTAAAAATTTGACAAACGAGAAAAATTTTTATGATTAAAAAGTCAGGCTGGGTTCCATCCTCGCCATTGTTGAAAACCCAAATTTACGACTTTCATTTGCAAAAACGAAGACCCCAGTGGTTCAAACAAAACCCCACTTTCCCAAAGAGGGGTTTTTAACCCAAAAACAGGTGCGTTCCATTTATAAATTTTCTCCATAGAGTCGGGGTTTTTTTAAAAGATACAATGGTGGAAAAAAGGCGGTATTTGTTTAATTACCTTCTTTTTTATCCCCCCTTTGAATTTCCGCACTGAATCGGAGAATGGGGGGAAGCATCCAAGCCTCGGTGGCGCAACGGTAGCGCGTCTGACCCAGATCAGAAGGGTTGCGTGTTGGGAAAATCACGCCCGGGGTTAATGTTTTGCCCGTTATTTTTGCCCCCACTTTTAAAAAATTTAAATTTTACAAAACACACCCATTACTAAGGAAAATATTTGTTAGTCCGACCTTTAAATTTCGAAGTTTCGGGGACCCCGAATTTTCATGTAAAACTTAAAAGGGAAAAAGAATGAAAAATGGTTTTTGTATTGGTTCCCAATGGTAAGAATCCCTCATCCAAAAATTATATAAGGATGCAAAAATTGAAAGAACCAGGAAATTTTAAAACCTATTTTGCTCTCTTGAAGTGCATGACCATAAATTAAAATAAGTTATAATATTTGATTTTTACGAAAGCCAAAGGACTGTCATTTGCCCAAATATCTTTTCCTGACCTGTCAATATAATATGCAGAAATGAGATTGTTAACGTGGCCCCCGGTGGCCAACGGTAGCGCGTCTGACTCCGATCAGAAGGTTGGGGGTTCAAATCACGGGGGGTAAAAAAATGTTGGATTGGTTTTCTTTATTTTTTTTTCCCCGTCTTAAGAAACAATATGAATTTACCCTTTTTCCCTGCTACAAAATTTTCAAAACTTCCAATTTTTTTTTTTTTCCCCCAGTAGTCCGCGTTCAGTAGGGTTCCTTAAGAAATTTTTTGCGGTGTTTTGGGAATTACGTAAATTTTTCAAGTCAAAATTGACAAACGAGAAAATTTTTATGATTAAAAAAGTCAAGGGCCCCGGGTTCCATCCTCGCCTTTTGTCTGACAAACCAATTTACGATTTTCATTTGCAAAAACGATATTTTACCTGATGGTTCTAATAAAAAAAACCCCTCACATTCCAGAAGAGGGAAGCTTGTGAAAAACAGGTGCGTTCCATTTAAAAATTTTTCTACATAGGTCTCGGTTTTAAAAAGATACAATGGGGAAAAAAGAACTGGTATTGTTTAATTACCTTAAATTTTATCCCCCTTTTGCAATTTCGCCCCGAATCGGAGAATGTGGGGAAGCTTTAAACCCCCTCGGTGGCGCAACGGTAGCGCGTCTGACTCCAGATCGAAGGTTGCTTTTCCAAACCACGCCCGGGGTTAATGTGTGCC